TGATGTTCTAGGGTTTCAGGATTGTTGATTCTCTGTTTGGCTTAGTTTTTCGGATCTTTGCTGTGGAGGGACGGCGTGGTGCTTCTGCCTAGAGCGCCATCTTGCCGGACTCCGAGTGCACTGTGTTTTGATGAGGAAAGAAAATTTACAGTGGCAGGGCCAAGCAGTGTGAAGACCTCTGATTAAGGAAAAATGCTTTCTGCTTGTGGGCATCAAGAGGGAGATGAGTGTTTTGCAAGCCTGGCCATTAGCAGCCCAGGCGCACCAGCCTGGCCTCTGTAGTTAGGGTAGTCAGTGATGGCATGGCTGGGCAGGCATGCTCAGAGTATGCCCATCCCAGGCCCCAGGAGACTCTCACTTGAGACTTCTGCCAGGAACAGACCAGTTATGTACCTGATCACGAGGAAGCAGGGGTGGGTGCTCAAGGCTGCAGTTGAAAAGCAGCCTTCAGTGCCTTGGAGAGGAGCCTGCACATCTCAGACTGGAATCGGCCTCACCTGTGTCTGTATCCAGATCAGCATCAAAAGAGACGTGAAGGGAAGCTCGAGGGGTAGTGCCTTCCCTTCCCCTACACAGCTGGACTGTCCTGTAAACCAGGGGTCAGTCTCAGAATTGAAAAATGGACTCCCAATGGTCGTGTGCCTCTACGAGTCCCCCAGCCCATTCTCTGAGAGATCAGACCTTTACCACCACTGCCGAGCACTCAGATGCCAAAGGAAATCTTGAAATGATCCACTTCCAAACAGGTTTTATCCAATACTGAGCCTACTAAGAGCCCATCACTTGGGACTTGTTCTTCCTGTTCTTCTTGGTAAGTGTTATGGATTGAATTGTGTCCCCCCAAAAAATGTGTCTTAACTTGCCTAGTCCACGACTCCCAGTCTTGTGTGATTGTCCACCATTTTGTCATCTGATGTAGTTCTCCTATGTGTTGTAAATCCTACCTCTGTGATGTTAATGAGGTGGGATTAGTGGCAGTTATGTTAATGACATAGGACTCAATCTACAAGATTGGATTGTGTTTCAATCTCTTTTGAGATATAAAAGCAGAGAGAGAGGGCTATCTCATACCACCAAGAGACAAGAGCCAGGAGAATAGCATGTCCTTTGGACCTGGGGTCCCTGCTCTGAGAAGCCCCTCAACCAGGGAGTATTGATGACAAAGATCTTCCCCGCAGAGCAAACGGAGAGAGAAAGCCTTCTCCTAGAGCTGGCACCCTGAATTCAGACTTCTAGCCTAGTAGACTGTGAGAATAAATTTATCTTTGTTAAAGCCGTCTGCTTGTGGTATTTCTGTTATAGCAGCACTAGATAACTAAGACAGTAAGCGTGTCCTTGGCTGAGGCAGGTGCCATGTATGTCCTTCTTTTGAGGATGTGTACCTTCAGGCAGTGGGGGCATTGGAGGATCAGTGGTAGAATTCTCTCCTTCCAGCAGAGGCTTGCATTTTTCTGTGGTGCTGAACAGGTTTCAGTGGAACTCCAGTCTAAGATAGACTAGGAAGAAAGGCCTGGCAATCTGCTTCCAAAAATCAGCCAATGATAACCTATGGATCACAACAATCTGATCCACAACTGATTGTGAGGATAGCACAGGACTGCATGACATTTCATTCTGTTGTTCATGAGGTCACACATGAGTTGGGGGCTGACTCAACGGCAGCTAACAGCAGTAACAACAACACACAGGCAATAGCAATATCCACCACAGTGACAGCATCAACAGCAGCCTTCCGGGTGTGCAATGCGTTGGCAGAGCATCCCTTTATTAACACCACTCCCCCCACCGCCTTTTCTTTGTTGCAGAGTGACTACTCGAGCGACACCGAGAGCGAGGACAACTTCCTCATGATGCCCCCCAGGGACCACCTGGGCCTCAGTGTCTTCTCCATGCTCTGCTGCTTCTGGCCCTTGGGGATCGCTGCCTTCTACTTGTCCCACGAGGTAGGGCCCCCCATTCCACAGTGCAGTGGGTTGGCATGGGGCATGCCAGACTGAGGATGGGGGTACCGGTGAAGCCTGCTCAGCGTCTGCTATGGAGAGAGGGTGTTCCCTATTCGTACGTACGGTGGGGGCTAGGCCAAGAGAGGTGGGGCCCTGGGGATGCCTTCATCTCAGCATGACTGGCAGTCCTCCAGCTGTCCTTCCTGAAGGGGGCTGCCCTGGGAACACGGGGGAGCAGCATGGGGCAGTCTTCAGGAAGGGGCCCAGCAGATCCAAGCGTCCACCTGTGCTGCCGGTGGTCTTTGGGAGCCTGGCCTGCATGGGTACCGGCATCGCGCTGGAGGTCAGGTCTCAAGCTGGGAAACAGTGCTCAACCCAGGGAACCAGCGGGAAGGTCGGACTCCAGGGAAAAGGAGGCAACAGCAGGCTTTGTTATTCTTGTAAAAGGCTCCTCTGTGTACAATAAATTCTATTTCACCAGCAGATTTGTGCTCATCCCAGGTTGATTTTCTGCTAAGAAACATGGCATCTCTTAGTGCCTATTCATGCCCTTCCACCCAGTGTAAGGGCTGCCAGCCCTGTCTCACCATCAGGCATTCTGTCTACTGTCCCTTCGTGGAATCCAGGTTTGAGAGCTTTTCTCTAGCAAATGAAGGGTATTCATTCAGAAAGTATCTATTTTCGTAGATTTTTATTAATCAGAGAAAGACGTGTATAATTGCCAGTTAAAGCATATGATTACCAGTGTCTCCAAGCCCGCCACTATTGTCCCAACCAGAACACAGACGGAGACATCCCACTCACTGGGGGATGAGTGGGTTTTCTAAGGGCTGCCAGTGATGGCGCACCTGGGCCACTCCAGTTCTAGGGTTCAGGGCTGAGCCTGGAGAAGCCTGGCTTGTTTGAAAAATTCTTTTCTTGGCTTGAAAACAGAGCCCTCCCTAGTCAAGCAGTGGCCTCTTGTTGCTGCTTGCTGGTTTCTGTGGTGAGAGTGGGTTTTACTTGCCGAGGGAGAGCAGCCCCTGCCCCTGCCTGCAGCACTCTTCTTGTCCCACCTGCACATCTGTTCCCTGGTGTGGAGGCTGGTCCCTCCCTCTCCTAGCACAGAGGCATCCTGTCCACGGAGGAGCCAGACTCTTCTGGGGCCGATGCTCCTCAGAGGGGACCCCAGAGGCCTGGGAAGCCCCTCGACTGAACCGGGATGCTGAGGAGTGGGGACTGCTTGGTGCTGTGTGGTACTGTTTCCAGGGGTTGGTGGGGGTGACGGAGGAAAGCCCCCACTGCTGGGCTGGGGTGAGCAGTGTTTCATGTTCAGGCTTTGGCCTTGAGGATCTGTCTGAGTTTCCTTTGTGAATTTGTGTCGGGAATGCCAAAGGCCGCCTTCTCTGGGAGCACCAGCATGGAACAGAAAGCCAGCCTCCGAGTCTGGCTGGGTGTGGGTAGCTGTGGGGGGCCACAGCAGGTGAGCCCAACCCAAGGGAGAGGCCCAGTGCTGCGGCCTGAGGGTCTGGGAGTCTGCAGGGTCCTGGAGAAACGTGCAGACTGACGGCCCGCAGTGCACAAAGCACGTGCTGAGAAAGACCAATGCCAGCCTAAAGTTGCCCCTGCCTTTGTAAAGAGTGATTCGAAGCCTGGGCTAAAAGAAACAATTGCCATGGAGTTGACCCCAACACGTGGTGACCGCACATGTGTCAGAGTAGAACTGTGCTCATGGGTTTTTCAGTGACTGATTTTTCTAAAGTAGATTACCAGGTCTTTCTTCCGAGGTGCCTCAGGGTAGACTCCAACCTTTTGGTTAGCAGCCAAGCATGTTAACTGTTTATACCATCCAGGGACTCCAAAGCCTGGGACAGGATAATGCAAATAGCCAGCGGTCACCTTACTAAGAAAGGGAAGGTCAGGGAAGGTCAAGACCATGGAGGGGAGAGAAACTGCTTCCCTCACACTAGGGGAAATTGTAATGTTTCTTCGGGAACTCTCTCCTGCTTCCCTGTCCACCCACATCTCATGTGAGGCAGACATGCTGAGAAAAGCCTTTTACCCCTCCTGGCAGGGGACAGTGCTGACATCAGAGCTGTATTTTGATTACCAAATTTTAGCATTGGACTGGCATTTTTATCTTGGATTCTACGGGGAGAGGCATTGCCTGTTCCAAGAGATGATGGCTGGGCTCTGGGCAGGAAATGAGCCCTGGACACAAGGCAGGAAGGCTGAGGGGCACAGAGTCTGTGTGGGGAGGTGACTCTCCTCGGCCGGCAGAGCACTGATGGTGCAGGCTTCCATGGTCTCTGCAATGCCACGTGGCGGTTGAAGCCCTGTGTTTGGAGCCGTGCAAGCTGTTAACTGTGTCATTGTCCAAAAGAGGTAATTATAATAAAAACCAGTACTGTGATGCCTATAGACTGGTGGTCTAGATTCTGTTTCTCAGAAAGCAGTTTAATTCTTACCACCATAACAGCCTTTCAGCCTTTGGCCTGGTGACTCTCATGATATTTAATGCCTCTGATGGTAAAGAGGACTTTGGCGATTTGTTTCACTTTGATTATGAAATGCTGTTTCTCTCAAGGCCTCTGATCATGTTTCTTAGAGGTGAGTGCAAACATTTTGAGGTGTGCAGACCCCCCCAAAGCTGTTGGAACAAGGAGAGGGTCTCTAGGGTCTGCTCCTGCAGCCCCCCGACCCCCTTCATTGGGCTGCCCAGATGGTTTCTGCTCAGCGGAACCGTGATGGAGCAGATGTGCTAATGTTTTCATATAAAAGCCTTTATAGGTGGGTGCCTGTTTGTGTGCCTGTCTGTCTGCATTACGCGTGCAGATAGGCTGTGCCTCAAACTTCCAGGTAGCGATAAGACTGCTAGGAATAAGGCTCATACACCCAGCGGCCTCAACCATTCCATGGGTGCTATGTTCATCTGTGATCGAGCTGGACACGTACATGAGACAATTACAGTGTTGGCAAAGGGAAAGCCATTATTATTGTTTACAGAAAGCAGACAGTAAACAATAACAACAGATTCTCAAAGGGGAAACACTTACCCTTCCACAAATTACCCGTGTCCATTCTTATGTTGCTGGGCTGGCATGCTGTGGTTCAGGTCAGACGCTGTGCTCACATCACCGCTGCCTCTGGCTGCCACCATGCTGTCTGGGGGCAGGGAACCTGTGTGGCTCCCAAGGCTTCTGCTCTGCAGCTGGACCTCCCTGGGCCTTGCCTTGCCAGCAGAAAACCCTCTGCACAGGATCTCCCGAGCCTCTGCCACTGGGCCCCTGTAGACCACTGACACTGGCTCCCGCCAAACTACCAGACCTCTCTCTTGGTTCTCCCTCTTGCCGCCAAGATGACTGGGCCTGTGCTGCCCAAGAGGCTGGTGTGGCTCCCGCCATGCCACCTAAGGGGCGGGGTGGGTGTGCAACCCCTGCATGGGGCACATTCAGGCCCCTCTGCCCTCCACGGGCAAGTGTCACAGCTCTTTTAGCTCTGCCAGCAAGTGCCCGGTGGTACCCAGCTCTGCCTGCAAGTGCCCAGTGGCACCCAGCTCCGCCAGCCAGCCTGTCCCTCCCAGCACAGCCACCTCTCTCTGTGGGCCAGCAAGCCCACTGAAGCCTTGTGCTGGTCTAATGCTCCCACCACACGTACTGCTACCATTGTTTCTCTGCTGCCTGGTTTGCTGTCTTCAGTGGTACAGCTCTCTCTTCTGGGCCTAGGAGCTTCTCAGTGCAGGGACTCCGGGCCCAAAGGGCCCTCTGCTCCAGCCTCTTCTTGATGGTGGTGAGGTACCCCTGAACTTCTTTGGGATTAGCCCTTAAATAAGCCTAGCATGATGGTAAAACTGACCAGTCCAGGAGCTGGGTCTCAGCAGGCTCAATCCTACTGAGTGGATTTTCAAGCTACTATTAGCATAATGGAGCCCTGGTGGCACAGTGGTTAAGTACTCAGCTGATAACCAAAAGGTCAGCAGTTCGAATCCACCAACCGCTCCTTGGAAACCCTATGGGGCAGTTCTACTCTGAACTGTAGGGTCACTATGAGTCAGAATTGACTCGAAGTTAATGGGTTTGGTTTTTTTTTTTTTTTGCATAATATATCCACCAATCCCTTGCAAGATTGTGGCCCAGCCAGTCATTTTAAGGGAGTTACAAGACCGTGGCTAGAAAGGCCATATAAAAGTGATTCATGGCACTGAGGCGCCTGCCACAGAGCTGTATTCACATTCCTCCCAGTAGGAGCCCACACTGAGAGCCTCTCCACACGGTCTCCTCTCCTGCAGGCCTCAGCTGTGGCCTTTCTGGGCTTTGCTGCAGACCTGGACAGGGCCAGTTCCTGGCACTTCGCGGTTCTGCCCAGGCATTCGGCTGCTGGGCATTCTGTTTACACCTGTGCAGCCACAGCTGAAGACTCCACATCTCTGAAGGCCGTTTGATGGAGCAGCAGCCACAGAGGAGCACATGCAGTGTGGCAGGCAGTGCAGCAGCCTGCCCGGAGAGTCGTCACAGCAAATGTGATCCCCAGACAGCTGCGAGCTCCAACGCCCACAGAGCTGGAGGGAGCCCGGTTCCTCAGGGCCCTTTGGAGTTGCTCCAGCATCTACTGCTGTCCTGTGTTGTTGGGGTGGGGGTGACGCTATATTAGAGCAAACAGCAGATCTGTTAAGAAAGCGTTCCTGAGTTCTAATGCTGTTTCCAAAGAAACCTTTGACATCTAAGTGTGACTCTTCAGTGTTTGTCTTTTATCACAGATCCTATCTCAGTATAGTCCTGAGGCAGAATTAAGCTGTGCCTGCATGTTGTCAAAATAACTACTCAGTGAAGCCACAGTGGCTGGGTGAAATCGTGTGGTGGTGAAAATCATCACCGTGACCCTTAGGCTTACGGTCAAAACCCAGGATAGTCTTTGGTCAGTCCTGTTCTAGCTACCATCACCCATCTGTCACTTTGTCATACTGTGGTGGCTTGCATGTTGCTGTGATGTTGGAAGCTATGCCACCAGTATTTCAAACACCAGTAGGGCCACCCATGGTGGACAGGTTGCAGCAGAGCTTCCAGACTAAGACAGACTAGAAAGAAAGGCCTGGTGATCTACTTCTGGAAATCAGCCATTGAAAACCTTATGGATCACAATAGAATATGGTCCAATATAGTTCTGGGAGATGAGCCCTTTAGGTTGGAAGGCACTCAACATACACAGTGGCTGCAACAATGAACTTGGGCAGACCAACCATTGTGAAGATGGTGCAGGTCTGACCAGGCAGCATTTCCTTCTGTTGCACATGAGTTGCCATGAGTCAGAGCTGACTTAAGGCAACTAACAACCAAAACAACAGCAGTAGTAAAAGTGTTGGCAGAGTGGGTAACATTTATTGAGCAGTTACTATGTGCCAGTCCTGTGTTAAATTCTGCAGACCTTCATTCCTCAGATTGGGGTCCAGGACCAGCAGCAGCAGCACCCTTCTGGGCACTTTTTAGAAATACACATTACAGGCCCCATCACAGACCTGCTGAATCAGAGTCTTGGGGTGGCGCTCAGGACCCCACGTGTGAATAAGCTGAGGCTGATGGGCGGATGCTGCTGCCCACTTGGTTTGGTAAGTGCTGCTCTGCATGCGTGGTCTCATGTGAACTGTGAGGTATTAGTGATGCAATTACCCCACTCTGTGGGTGGTGGGATCAGGGTTCAGTGAGGTTGGAGGATGTGCCTAAGGCCACTGCTGGTAAGCAGTGGGCTGGGTGGGGCCGGATGGTTAGCCCTGGAGCATGGTAAAGGGAGTCAGCCTGGAGGCAGGGCAGGGGAGGATGAGTCCAGTGTTTTCTGCACACCCTCATTTGTCCTCAGCAGTGCTAATTACTTTACCCAGCTCCCAGTGCAGTCAGGTTTTATTAGCCAGTTTACCGAGAGGAAAGTGTTATCTATGTGACTTTGGTAGTATGGATCTGTCTAGAAACTGGTGCTCCTGAATGATTCTCAGCATAGAAATCCACCCCCTAACTCACTGAGTGATGCTGTGAGCTGGTTAATGCACACACTGTCTCTCAGTTAATCATTGCAATGTGTCTAAAAGGGGAAAAATTGTCATCTTCATTTTATGGATGAAAAAAGCCTTAATGTTCCGATTTAAATAACTCACAACAAACAGAGGTAGCAAGTATAGGTACATTATTGTAAATTCCATCATTTTTAACCATTAAAACCAAATTTTCT